GAGGTTAAGGTAACGACCCAAGAGGGGAGGGGATGTGGACCTGGGCTTGAGGGGAAGCAAAGAGAAGATTCTAAATTCAAATGATACTAGGGGAGAGGACTTCTGGCATGACCGAGTGAGGAGGTCAACAAATCCTCTCCTCAAAAAGCAGCTATAACCCCGGACATTCAGAGGCAGCCATGTCAGGAAACGGATTTAGTTCCAGCGAGAAGAGCTGGAGTCTGTGGCCTCTGCGTCCAGGGTTTCTCTTGCTCCCCCTGCCCCCAAGGTCTTCCAGCAGCCAGTGGGACTGGGGAAGGGTAGACAGGCCACAAAAGCCCGGGTGACTTGGAGCACCGTCAGCCTCTCAGTGGCGAGGAAACAGGGAGAGCCAGCGGCTCCTTCAGCCCCAGCAAGCCACCAGTCACCTTGCCAGGGATTTAAAAAGGAGGTGGAGAGGTAAGACAACCACAGGGGGCTTAATAAACTCTCCACAGAGCCTTGCTTGCCCTGAAGCCGAGCACATGCTCAGCAGAGACAGTCTGCTATTGGGTGAAGGCCAGCCATAGGGATGGATCAATGGAGCAGACTGAGTCCAGGAACAAAACCTTACCCTTATGGTCAATGGGTTTTCACCAAGGGAGCCCAGACAGTTCAGTGGGGAAAGGATAATCTAATCAGCAAACAATGCCACAATTGGATATCCACATGCAAAAGAATAAAGTTGGACCCCTATCTCACGCCATATACGGATTAATTCAAAATGGAGCAGCAAAGACCTAAACATACAAGCTAAAACTGCAACACCTTTAGAAGACATAGGAAAAAAATCTCCATGACTTTGATTGTTCTTAAACACCAAAGCATGATTCATAAAAAACCTGATAAACTGACCTTTATAAAGAAATAAATATTCAACAAACAACACTATTAAGAAAAGGAAAAGACAGCCATAGACTGGGAGAAGATATTTTCAAAATCATATACCTGATAAAGGACTTGTACCCAGATTATATAAAGAACTTGTAAAAGCAAAAAACCCAATTTTTTTTTACAAGGCAAAAAATCTGAACAGACTTCACCAAAGAATATAAAATAAGAATATAAAAAGATGTTCAACATCACTTCTCATTAGGGAAATACAAATGAAAAAACGGGGGCACCTGGGTGGCTCAGTTGGTTAAGCATCTGCCTTCGGCCCAGGTCATGACCCCGGGATCCTGGGACTGAGTCTCGCATTGGGCTCCCTGTTCAGTGCGGAGCCTGCTTCTCTCTCTCCTCCTTGCTTGTGCACCCAATGCTCTCTCTCTCAAATAAATAAATAAAATCTTTAAAACAAAATGAAAAAATGATGAGATACCCCTACCTACCTATTAGAATGTCCCAAATCCAAAAGAGCTGACAATTCCAATTGCTGATGAGGACATGAAGCAACAGGAACTCTCATTCACTGTTCATGGGAAAGCAAGATGGTGCAGCCACTTTAGCAGACAGCTGGGCAGTTTATCACCAAGTTAAACACCGACTTACCATATGACCCAGCAATCATACACACAGTTCCAAGTGAACTGAAAACTTATGTCCACACAAAAACCTGTAAGTGCTTATAAATGTTTATAGCAGCTTTATACATAAGCATCAAAAACTGGATGCAACCAGGATGTCCTTCAACAGGTAAACAGCTAACAAAAAGTGCTCCATCCAGACAAAGGATTATTATTCAATGCTAAAAAGAAATACACTATCAAGCCATGAAAAGACACGGAGGAACCTTCAATGCATACTGCTAAGTGAAAGAAGTTCATCTGCAAAGGCTACACGCTGCATGACTCTAATTATAGGACATTAAGGAAAAGGCAAAGCTATGCAGAAGGTAAACAGATTAGTGGTTACACTAATAGAAAACAGATTAGGGTTGAGGAAGGGAGAGTGGCTGAGTACGAGGCGGATGGACAGAAGAACGTTTATGGTGACAGGACAGTTCTGTATGGTACTTGGGTGGTGGACACGTGACCAAATGCATTTGTAAAAACCCACACAATTGTACATCACAAAGAATGAACTTTAATGTATGTAAGCAAAAGAATGAAACAAAACATCGACTAGCTGGGCGGGCGATCCCAGGATGGGATGCAGGCTGTGACAACTGAATCTAACTGCCTGAGAAACGGAGGAGGAGGGAGAGAGGAGCCGACCCAAGTAACCTTAAAAAAGGCTATTTTGACTAGAAACTGTAAGGGAAAGACCAAAGGATTTAAATATAAACCCTGTACTGTCGATGGTAAAGTTGTTCCTCAGAGAGGTATGAGCGGATACCAAAATTGAGCAAGCATGCAAATCGTTGACGAATGGTAGGTTTCTCCCCGGCAGAGAGGGAAGTTACAGAGAAGCAAGAAAGGAAGGCCACAAGAAAGCTTTGGGCACTGGATCATAGTTGGAGAATAGGTATGAACTCATGTTTAGGTCAATATAAATGTAGATGAATAGAGAAATAATCATAGATGCATGTGTATACACGGTTTAGGAGATAACCACATACTTCTTGCCTACTCCTGCCCACTTAAAGGGTACAGAAGTAGCGACATCCCACTAAGTGACGAACACACTCAAGACTCAGGTCTTTGCTTCTAAAATCAATCACTTCCAGTGAGGAAGAGAATGATATACTGAATAGGACACCCAAGGAAACCTTCCCAGCAGGCAACAGCTTTTAGGAAGAAGGGAATGAGACCAAGAAAGTGGGAGAGTGCCAGGAGGAGGCGGGAGAAAAGAATGTGAAGCAGCAGATGGTCATCGAAGTCAAATACTGCAGAGGACACACGGGACAGAGAGCTGTGACCATCAAGGTCACTGGGGACCAAAGAGCAACTCAGGAGTGGGAGTTGAGGCTTGCACACACTAAGGTGTAGACCCAGAGGAGACAATGAGGAGTGGAAACTGGCCTCAGGTTTCTCAGTGGGTGAAAGTGCCAGGGAACGGAGGCGGCTGGCAGGACCTGTTGACAAGAGACTGCCCCTGTCACCCACAAGCAAAATACGGGGCGCTCCTGCAAGACCGACAGAAATATTTTCTTGAGAAAAAAAACCTATGTAACAGATAACATATTATTTCAAAAACAAACTCCAAAACTACAGTTAAGTCTAGTGTATGTGCCTAAGACCCAAAGTTGGAAAATGCGTTAATTAGGATCGTTTTTTATGCTGATGATTATCACGTATTGAAACAGGATGTTTTATCTTCACTCGTGGCATTAGCATGTCTGCATAGAGGAGAATGTCTGAGAATTTCATCGTGTGCTCATCATGACCATGTGGGACCAGGCTCACACTTGTATTTTTTGCTGGGACCCCCTTTATTTTCTTTTAATGACGCTTATAACGACAGAGGGTATAACTTAAGCTAACAATGGATTCTTCTTTAGACGAGAAGTTTAAATATGAGCCTAATTAAAGAATTTTCCAACACTTCTTCCTTGCTAAAACATGTACTGGTAATAAGCCCCCAGCGTGCCATCCAGGCTTCCATCCGAGCGCGCGCTCCCACTTGCTACCGCTGCCCGCATCTCACCATCTGGAAATACCATTTGTCACCCAGGTGTAATTGGCCAATTTGCTGGGTTTGCCCTTTAAATGTTCCATGTTCTCCTGACACCTGTGAGTTTCGTTTAGTGGCTTTTAGAACTTTTTACCCAAGCTGACATTGTCTGGAAAGGTGTTCTGAAGGACAGATGTGACTACGGTATTCTTTAATCGGAAGAGAACACTGTTCCACAGGAAATGTACACGGTCCCTGCAAGAAGGGGGCAAACGCTAACGCCACAACCAGACACACTCCTAACTCATTCACGCAGGACATGCTAAGTCACAACCTGCCCCCACAACAGGCTGCGATCACGCCAGTCACAACCGTAACAACTTCGCATCCTAACTACAAGTTACAACCACAACATACCATCAAAACAGGCAACCACCGCAAGTAACAATCACAGGTTCCAATCATAGCTTATTTTGCCACATCAAGTCCGGCTGATCCTCTCCATAGTAGGATCAGATCTTGATGTGTATTAGGATAAAAGGTTTAAATCTTTGGTGGTTTTGGAGGGAGGGGGAGGGCATGACTAAGAAGGGCTAGCACGAGGGGGTTTCCTTGTGGTGATGGAACAGTTCTGTATTCGGCATCCTGGTTGGTCGCGGTCACTGAAATCTACACACACGACGAAATTTCATGGACCCACAGTGTGCGCATGCACACATGAGTACATGCAAAAGCTGATGCAATCTGAATCAGGTCTGTATGCGACTTAATCACAGTCTGTACCAATGCCCACTTCCTCTGACAACGTACTCCGGTTATTTGTAAGGTCAGTGGCGACCTTCAGGGGACCCTGGGTGAACGGTACACAGAAATTCTCCTGAATAATTTTTATAACTTCTTGTGAGTTTTAAACTAATTTTATTTTATTCTATCCCTAACGTGGGACTCAAACTCACAACCCTGAGGATAATCTCCTTTTTGATCCAGACAATTAAGAGTTGCACGCTCTATGGACTGAGCCAGCCAGGCACCCTGAGTTTTAAACTATTTTAAACTAAAAAGATATTTTAAAAGATGTCAGACTTGCTATGGTCTCCTAAAAAAATGCTTGTCATGATGAGTCTTGCTCTTCCCACCCCAAGGGTGACAGGATCCCCAGGTTGGGGGCAAGAGTGGTCCCCAGTCACTGCTGCCGCCTGGGCAAGCGGCTCTGGCTCGGGATGGAGATATTAGCCATGCTGCACTTTGCCTTGGGGACACCAGGGGGAACGTGTGGCTTCTCCAAATTGGCTTATAAAGCCCTCCCCCTTTGAGCTGCACAGCCCACATGATTCCAAGTGAGCCCTCCAAGTTGTAAGCAGGATGTCTAAAAATGACCTCTTATATCCCAGAGGCTGAGTAAGAACAGCTCAATTAATCTGGTCACCATGTAATCACATTTGTAATGAGATGAAGGTGTTTAGATAAATCAATGCTCCTAATTTTACCTTTGTCAGGTTTGTATTCACCACCGCCTAAAATGTCTTCAAGATCCTTGTCTGAAAAACCTGGAGAAAACCAAATATATGTGTCAACACCACAACACATTTTTCAGGGACAAAAATCTTGTGTTAGTGTTGCCCAACATCCCCAGAGACTGACTGCCAGTTAAGAATGTCCCTGATGAATATGATAGGCAAAATTCTAACAGGGCACTAAGATTCCCTCCCACTAGAGGACACACCTTGCATAATCTCCCATCACTTGGAGCGTGAGTGGGATCATGAACAAGGTGGCCATCCCCGCTGCCATTAGGTTATATTAGCCGCCAAAGGTAAAGAGATGTTGCGGATGTAATTAAGGTCCCAAATCAGTTTGACTTCGCCTGATTCAGAAAGGAGATTATCCTCAGTGGGCCTGACTCAAGCAGGCAAACAGGGTGAGGCCTTCCTGAGCTCAGACACTAGAAGCAACAGAGTTAGTCTTCCTCTCCCAGCTCTCCCATCTCTGTCTTTCTCCATCAGTTCTATGACTGCAAGGATAGGTACTCTGCCGACCACCACACGAACTTGGAGGAGAACCCAAGCTCAGAGGAGACCAGGCCGGGCTGACATCGTGATGGCAGCTCGGGAGGCCCTGGACTTTAGAAAGCTGGGCTTACTGTTCCTGAACTCCTCACTCACCAAAGGAAACGGAGTTCATAAATGGGTGCTACCTTAACTCGCGAAGCTTGTGATCATTTGTTATGAGGCAATAGAAAAGTAATACAAGGAAACAGAAAAAAATGGATTCTGGCTTAACCGCTGAGTACACGACTTTAATGTTGTGTGTGAGGAAATGGAAAGTAGGCTGAAAGTATTTCTGCCATGTTTTTTGAGTCAACTGTACTACTTTGGAGTGCACTTGAGTGACTATTTCTGTTCTGAGTTTATCAGCGGCTCCGTGCCACAGAAGACCACTTTTCCTAGAGAGAATCAGTGATGGTCAAACTAGGGTTATGGCAGCTTGAATATTTGGCAGATGTTTTCTTGAAAATGAAATGAAATGACGCTGTCCATTCAAAGAAAACCACTGGCAAGATCTGTTGCCAATGGTAAGATTTCAAACAAAACTTAGAATTTTGAAAAATCTGTATCTACTACTGTGAGCTTAGCAGCCTCCCAATACTAAAGACTGGATCTAAGGAGCTGGGAGTGACATTAACAAATGTGAGTTTGGGGTACTGCATAATGAAACATGGCATTATTTGGAAGTTCAAAAGACCTCAGGACACCAATATTTCCAAATGACCAACGCACAATATATAAAACCACGAATGGGTAAAAATTCCATTGAAAGTCCAAGCAAGTCCTCGAGGGTTTAATGGAATCGAGTATGAGAAGTTCACTGATATGGTGTCACATTCCACACTACACTGAAACGGTAAGAAACCGCCACCTGAGTTTGGGGGTCTTAACAAAGAAGAATATCTACAACAATGACCTAAAAAGTCAATTAAAATATTCCTCCCTTTTTCAACTGCATATGTATATGAGGCCAGATTTCCTTCATACACTTCATTACAAGTGAATCCGGAAACAGAGTGAGTCTAGCTCTTCTGCTGAGACGTTACAGAAATGTGCAAAAAATGTACACAGAAACAAAAGCCTTTGAAATCCTCGATGATTTTGGGAGTCCAGAGACCAAAACGTTTGTGAACTACTATTTAGGGTTCTCCTACGCCTTGGCTCTGCTGGGCCCCGGGGGGCTCTGCAGGCCACTGTAGTGAAGGAGCGACAACCCGGCCAGGGAGCCGCCATGCTGGCCGATGCTTCTAGCCAGCTCTGACTTACCTCCTCCTCCTCCTGCGCTCGGTTTCCTGCGGCCGTCATCTCGATCATTTCGGTCATCCAGGGCATCAGCCAAGTTAAAATCATCATCTGCAGTGGGCCGCAAAACATACAAGAGAAAGTCAACTGGTTAAAGCACAGGGAGCTCTTTGGACATCTGCCCCAAAGAGAGCTCTACGGTACCCTTCTTTACTGCCCCCTCCTCAGAGTGGCAGCATTACCTGCAGGCTTTGCTGGAGCTCTGGTTGTTCCTGGCCTCTTAGTTGTGGTGGTGCCATGGTTCCATCTCGCTAAAATGGGGAAGGGGGACAGCATGGGAACACATTTAGTAACAAAATACAGCAGCCACTTCATGGCTCAGGGACGTTACATCATGAGTATGCTGCACTTGTCTTAGTCCTTGAGGCCCCTCTAAGGCCTCCGACGACCCCTTTGAGGATGACAAAGAAATGCAGAAGCTTTAAATGAGATGAGTTCCATTCACTTTTCTTCAGAGGACTGGTGGTAAGGCAGACATGGTCCCACAAATAACCTGAAGATTAATGGAGCGAGGTGTTCAGCCTAGATCTGCTGGACAGGACCCCATGGTCCAGGGGGTTCCAGAGCTTGAGCACGACCCTTGGGAGCTTCAGGCCTTGGTTTCCACCAGTATCAACCTGGCACCATAACCATAAATAATACTGTGCAGGGATGGACTGAGGTTATGTTCCCAGTAGAGTATGGGAATGTCTTATTATAAACTGAAAGTAGTATAATACCAACAAAATATTTTATATAAGCATGGTTATTACTCCTGTAACTATTAGGTTTTTCAGCTCAACCAGACTCCTCTAAAAATACAGACTTCTTTCACTCCTATCACATAGCATACTATGTATCAGTTTTCTAATAGTTTCTTTCCTTAGACATCAAGACTTTGGTGTAACTGTTCCTACTATTAGAAATTGGTTGAAAGTAAAAAGATGGGTAAAAGTATATGATACAAATAGCAACTGTGGGAGGGCTGGAGTAGCTATATTACTATCAGATAAAACACACATTAAGACAAACACTGTTACAAGAGTCAAAGAATGACATTTTGTAATCATAAAAGGATAAATCCAGCAGGAAGATAAAATTTTAAACATATATGCACCCAACAATCAAGCCCCAACTTACAAGAAGAAAAAAAAAAGGCAAAAACTGAAGAATAGGCAATTTGACAATAATAGTTGTAGATTTCAATACCATCCTTTCAATCACAGATAGAAAAGCTTGATAGAAAATCAGAAAGGAAGATTTGAAACAACGGGTCGAAGAGGAAATCACAGGGCAAATTATTAAATACCTTGAGATGAATGAAAAAGAAAACACAACATACCAAAACTTATGTGTTGTTATGAAAGCAGTGCTGGGGGCTGGGGAATTTCTAGCTGTAAACACTGACATTTAAAAAAAAAAAAGGTCTCAAATCAATAGCCTAATCTTTCACATTAAAATATTAGATAGGGTTGCCTGGGTGGCTCAGTCAGTTAAGGGTCCAACTCTTATTTCAGCTCAGGTCATGATCTCAGGGTCAGGAGATTGAGCCCCACATTGGGCACCATGCTCAGCAGCGAATCTGCTTGAGATTCTCTCTCCCCTTCTCCCTCTGCCCTTCCCCCCCACTCTCTCAAATAAATGAATAAATAAAATCTTAAAAAAAAAGAAATGAAAGAGGAAACCAAACCTACATCAAGCAGGAGAAAATAAAAATTGTAGCAGAACAACTGCAATAGAGAATATAAAAAACAGAAAAAAACAAATCCAAAAATTGGATTCTTTCAACAAAATTGATGAACTGTTACATGACCCAAGACAAAAAGAAAGAAGACCCAAATTACTAAATTCAGGAATGAAGGAGAGACATTACCACCAACTGTACAGAAATAAAAAGAATTAAGGAACACTATGAACAATTATATTACAATAAATTAGATAACCTAGATGGAATGGACAAATTCCTGTACAGAAACCACCAAAACTGACTCAAGAAGAAACAGAAAATCTGACTAGACCTACAAGTAAAGAGAGTGAATCAGGGATTTAACAACTTCCCACAAAGAAAATCCCAGGACCAGAAGTCCTCATTGATGATTTCTACCAAATATTTAAAGAAAAATCAAAGTCATTAAGGAGGGCACGTGATGTGATGAGCACTGGGTGTTATACTGAACTGATGAATCATTGAACATTATATCAAAAACCAATGATGTACTATACCTTGGCTAATTGAATTTAAATTAAAAAAAAATAAAGAAAAATCAAAGTCAATTCTTCTAATTCTATGAAGCCAGTAGGACTTTACACCAAAGCCACCACAAGATAACTAGATAACCAATCTACCGCAGACCTCTAACCCTTATGGGTACAAATGCAAAATCCTCAACAAAATACTAGCAAACCAAATCCAGCCACATATTAGGATTATAAAACATGACCAAGTAAGGATTTATTCCAGGAGTGCAAGGGTAGCTCAATATAAGAAAAATCAAGCACTGGGATAGCCAAAACTAATAGAACAAAGGGAAATAAAACACTTGATCATCTCAAGAGATGCAGAAACGCATCTGACAAAAGCCAAAACCATTTCATGCTAAAAAAAAAAATACTTTTTATCTAGGAATAGAAGGGAATTTCCTCAACCTGACAAAGGGCATCTATGAAAAATCCACAGTAAACATCGTATTTAAGGATGAAAGACTGAAAGCTTTTCTCCTAAGATCATCAACAAGACAAAGGACGTCTACTCTCACCACTTCTATTAAATATTGTACAGGGCAATTAGGCAAGAAAAAAAGTCATCTAGACTGTGAAGAAAGTAGTAAAACAATCTCTAGTCAAAGATGACACGACCTTACATATAGAAAACCTTAACAATCCAGACCTACCCCCCACCAAAAAAAAACTGTCTTAGAGATAGTAAGTCCAGCAAAGCTGCAGGATACAAGATCAATATACAAAAATTGTATTTCTATATATTAGCAATGATCTGAAAAGGAAAATAAAGTGATTCCATTATAATAGCATCAAAAGAATAAAATTCTTAGGAATCAACTTAACAAAGGATGTGTAAAGATTTGTACACTAAAAGCCACAAAAGTGTTGAAAGAAATAAAAGGAGTCTAAGTGGAATACCCCATTGTCACAGAAGACTCACTATGGTTAAGATGGCAATATTACCCAGATTAATCTACAGATTCTATGCAATCTCTACCAAAATTTCAACTGCCTTTTTTTTTTTTTTTTTTACAGAAATGGATAAACTGATCCTAAAATTCAAATGGAATTACATGGGAGCCCAAATAGCCAAAATAATAGTAAGAACAAAATTACAAGAGTCACACTACAAACCTACAATAATCAAACCTGTGCGATACTGGCATACGAATATATATATAGACCAATGTCACAGTATTGAGCGTACAAAAAGAACCCACATATTTATGGTCAACTGATTTTCAAGAGGGTGCCAAGACCATTCAATGGGGGAAAAGAATGGTCTTTTTAATAAACGTTGCTGGGACAACTGGATATCCACATGCAGAAGAATGAGGTTGGACCCCTTCCTCACATCATATACAAAATTACCTCAAAATAGATCAATCTGGCCACAAATTTTCAGAGATGACACCAAAAGCATGAGCAACAAAAGGATAAATTAAACTTCATCAAAATTTAAAACCTCCGTGCATCTAAGTACATTTTCAAGAAACTGAAAAGATAACCTAGGAAATGGGAGAAAATACTTGTAAATGATATCTGATGAAGGTCTAGCATTCAATATGTATAAAGACCTCCTCAGTCATCAGGAAAACACAAATAAAAACCACAATGAAGTTCTACTTCATCGCTACTAGGAAGGCTATAATCTTTTTTTAAATTGGAAAATAAAGACACAAACATAAAGCCAGAACCATAAAACCCTTAGAAGAAAACAGGAAAAAAAAAAATTTGACATCAGACCTGGCAGTGATTTCTTGGATGTGATACCAAAAGTACAGGGAACAAAAGCAAAAACAGACAAGTGGGACTACATCAAACTAAAAGGCTTCTGCACAGCAAACAGTCAATAAAATGAAAAGGCAATATATGGAATGAGAGAAAATATTTGTAGATCACATATCTGATAAGGGGTTAATATCCAAACTATGTAAGGAAATCCTACAACTCTATAGCAAAACAAAAAATCACCTGGTTACAAAATGGGCAAAGGACTTAGATCCTTCTTAAAGAAATGGCCAACAGGTATATGAAAAGATGCTCAATATAACTAATCATCAGGAAAACGTAAATCAAAATGAGGTATCACCTCACACCTGTTAAGATGAATATTATTTTTAAAAAACCACAAAAGGTGACACGCTGGTAAGGTTGTGGAGCAAAGGTAACCCTTGCACACTGTTGGTGGGAATATAAAATGGTGCCGCCACTACGGAAACAGTATGGTGGTTCCAAAAAATGACAGAAACAGGACTACCACGGGATCTAGCAATCCTACTTCTAGGCTTATATCCAAAAGAAAGGTAATCAGGATCTCATATGTCTGCATGTCCATGTTCATTGCAACAGTATTCTCAATAGCTGTGAGAAAGAAATAATCTAAGTGACCACTGATGGATGAATGGCTAATGAAAATGTGCTATGTAAATAAAATGGAACATTATTCAGCCTTAAATAGAAAGAAATCCTGCTACTTGGGACAACACAGATGGACCTGGAGGATACTATGCTAAGTTAAATAAGCCAAACACAGAAGGACAAATACTGCGTGATCTCACTTTTAGGAGGAATCTAAAGTAGTCAAATTCATAGAACCAGAGGATAGAATGGTGGTTACAAGGGCTGGGGGGAGAGGGAATGGGGTGGTGTTGGTCAAAGGGTACAAAGCTTCAGGAAAAAAAGGGGGAAATAAGTTGGCTAGGATGTGGAGAAACTGGAATCCTTACACACAGCTGGTGGGAACGTAAAATGGCGCAGCCACTGTGGAAAACAGCTTGGCGGTTCCTCAAAACCTCAAACGTAGAATGACCACATGACCTTGCAATTCCACTCCCAGGTATATGCCCCGAAGAATTAAAAACAGGTATTCAAATAAGACTGTGTACACACATGTTCATAGCAGCAGTATTCACAACAGCCAAAAGGCGGAAACAGCCAAATGTCCATCAACTGATGAATGAACAAACCGTGTGGTCGGTCTATCCATACAATGGAATATTAGTCATAAAAAGAATGAAGCACTGATATGCAGGCTCTAAGGTAGGTGTGC